GAGAGAGAGAGAGAGAGAGAGAGAGAGAGAGAGAGAGAGAGAGAGAGAGAGAGCAATTTCTGATTCATCCATTTTCAACCAGAAATTTTTTTCAGTGTACGAAAGTTTTGCTGATCAGATTTTGTTTCGTCTATTTCAGTTGTGTATGAAATGGGTAAGTGAAACATTTAACGGGCTATGTTCATCGTATCGTGCGATGTTCCCATGGATAATTGGCATTGTCACTGATTCACCGATCGAATTGTGTTATAGCGTGTCAAATGAATTTCACGCGGTATGTATTCCCTCGAGTACGAATCATCGGGTGGGATGTCATCGCCCGCCTTTCGAATGCTTCACGATTTTTCACCTCCGCCGGTTGATGCACGCTCACGAACTTTTCGCGTTGAAAGGATCGTAAAGCCGGATGTACGTACGACCGGTATGAATTCGAATGGAATCTCTTCGCCTGCGCCCGTTGGCTGGTTCACTCGGCGAAATGTGATATTTATCACGAGCGTTGCCGCTAAATTCCCCAGAAAATTCCAAATATATATACTTCATGAACGCATGTCGCGCGCGGTCGAATATATCGTGAAAATCTGAAGTAAAAGCCGGAACGACAGACGGTTGTGAAAATGACGTGAACATTCCCGATAAGAATATCACGCAGTGCGAATGATGTGCCTGAATAAATATTATTTATTCCATTTTCTTATAAATATTGCATAGAATTTCAAGGTAGAATTATTCAGTTTAATGTTTCAAGAATATTATTTGTTCTAGATATGCATTAAATGTATTATAATATTTACATACGAAATTGTTAGAAATCGTGATGGAAAATAACAATTGAGAATTTTTTTATTTCTTATGTACTTAACATTAAATACACAGTAAAAAAGAAAATGTTAATTTTAACATTTTTTACATGTCCCAGGAGATCTACTCTAAATTTTAAGTTAAAGTAACTCATTCGTCTTGTGTTATTTATTAATGAACTAATAATAATTGACACAATACTTTATATTTATATTTGTTATTTTAACTTTAAGGGTGATTTAAAACTAACATATAAAATAAGTAGAGTACATAGAAGAGTAGTTGCAGTAACTCGTAAGAAAATGTTAATAAAACATTTTTGTTCGTATAATATGAATGAAAAAATTCTTAAATGTTAAATTGACTTTGAGATATATAAATTAATTGAAACAATTGTGTTAAAAACACTTAAAATAATATTTCATTTTTAATCGACATATGCAATTGTTAAGTTAGAAAGATGACATGAATCTAACACATCAATATGTTATAAAAATAATAACATATCAGTTGTATGTTTATTTTACATTGAAGTAATAATCAAAATGTGGTGACAAAGAAAAATTCTACATTTGGACACACGATTTTTTACTGTGATTTTATACTTTAAAAAAGTGAATACATAGATTTTTTGTAATTGAAAAAAGTTCAATGGAAAATAATCAAATTAGATGATGTTCACGAATTCAAAATCGCGAATAATAGTAATTTACATACAGACGTTGAAATCTATTGATGAGTAAATGAAAGAGAATTGCGCCGAACGGATTTAATACCAACAGTAAAAAAGATGGTATTTACATGTCGCCTTTTTAAACGTTGTCAGTTTGAATAGTGCCGTCGTTTAAAACATTGTTGGAATCATTCCGCCAAAGATTTGTGTATAAAAAACATTATATGGTGCGCCGTTTGTAGGAATAGCAGGACGAATTTATTAATAAAAAATATAATCCTATTGTAATGCAGATATATGCCGAGAAAAATGGAGGCTATGTATAGAGGATGCACGCAGTTGGATGCAGTTTATTCCAGTTTTTGCTACAATATTTCTTTACATTTCCCTTTTATTTTTCTTTTTCCTTCAACTCTTTTCAAATCGGCTGTAGCGCTCATCATGTATCACTCGGATGCTTATAATTCTTTTAAATTTATACACGTTATTCTTTTTAATTGCCTTCTACATGTTTCATAATTTGTACCAGGTAGTTATACATATTTCTACTTGCATATTTAATTATAATTACCTCTCATAATTAATTCAAATCGATCCATTATAAAGTATCTCACAATCAGTGAAGCTAGAATTTTGATATAGTTGTTGATTAATTCTATAAAGGAAACATATAATTAGATATCTTATAACGTCTATTTATTTATACTCAATTGTCAAAACTCATCTCAATGCTTATTAGGAACTTTATAGTTTTCTGAAAAGAAGTGTTGGATAAAGCGACATACACTACTGCTCAAAAATTTAGAGTATCTCTATTTTGAAAAGAAGGTTTAATCAACTTTATTTATTAATATTGTAAATATTCATTTTTTTCGATATATGAAAATTCATATTGTTTTTATCAAATATTTTATTTCAGTAATGTACGTTTAAATAAAAATTAATATTTTCAAAATAATTACGTCTGTAAAGAATCATGTTTTTTTTATTTGAAAAATATATTATATAAAATACTTCAAACTTTTCAGTAGTAGTATATTATACGATGAGTTCTCTGTAAATTAATTTTGCATATTTCTTTGTTTAAAAATTCGTTTAGTGTTCGTCTAAATGTTGCATTATGCATATTTATTAATATGTACATAATTATAATTGATATTATATATTATACTATACAATATATAAAGTGCACACTATGCATAACATGACGTGAAACTATTGATATAATCGCCAATGCTTGTCATAATCAAGTGAATAATTCTGTTTATCATAATTAATAATGGGCGAATATTGTATGAATGCCAAAACATGAATATTATACTGCAATCTAATCATGATGATCTAACATGATTACAAACGCACCATGTTGTTGAAAGTATATTTATTTTGAAAAATATATTTATTTTAAATTTGAAGGCATATAAATCAAAGTTATTTTTTATAAAATACAATGTACAAGATATTAAGGCTTTAAAGATATAAATCAAGAAATAATAAAATATTAAGCCAATGTAACCTGACACAGAATAATATAATAGTGTGTAATAATTATATATAAATAATAATAAATAACAAAATGACAAATGTTTCGACCCCAATTTGGGTCCTTTACAAATTAATTAGAGAGTATTGCAACACAATGAAAAAGTACAATCAAAGTGCTTAATAGTAGAACACGGAAATATGTCGCATGTTTAAAGTCTATGTGAAAGTCCAACAATAAAAATCATCCATCAATAGTATTTGTCAGAATGCCATTATTTCGATAGTTATAGTTTAGATATTAAAAATAAAAATTCCTAGAGTTATCCGATCAAAGTGCACGCATGCGTGGTAAAGCGTTTGTTATAGGATGTTATTTATTAATGGTTTTTATTTCATAAAAAATAATTTTCAAATCATTCGTTTTAAAGCGATTTTGTGTACCTTTATATGCATATTTTAGTACTATAGAGTTCGCCAAATTCGTCGTGTGAAAAAAGATCCTTAGAAAGAAGAAAGTATGTAAAATAAGTAGTTACGAGGCAGTTTCGATGACAGTGATGATATTTACACCATCAACGCTTCGAGTAAAGTCATCGCTTCCTAATAATTTTTTATGTGAACGTTGGCGATTGGGTGAGGAAATTTTCAAGAGCTATAGCCGTTTAATAGCACGATGATGAGGATACTTTAAACTTGATGTGCACCTCCATTCCTTCCAATTTTCTTTCTCCGGACTATACTAGCA